TTCTTATCAGCAGCTGCCTTCTTGACCTCGGTGAGGATGCCGTATGTGGTCAGGCCGGCAGATCCGACCGAGTTGAGGAGGACATCGCAAAGAGCATAGCAGGCATCGATGGACGCAGCGGACGTCTGGGCGTTGAAGATGGTGTTGAGGAAGGCCGCGATGTCTTCCTGTGATGGCGGGGGAGGGGCTTCTTTCGACACCACAAGCGGCGGCGAAACCGGGTGAGGCATTGTTGAGGTTTTGGAGCGTCCTGCCTGTGAGAATTAAAGGGGGAGAAACAAAAGTCAAAACAAGGAGATTCCCCAGAACAAAAAGGTCTCAGCCGCAGGACGCAAGAAGGGCTGTTCTCTAGCAAAGTCTGGGGAGGCAAAGGAGAAAAAAAGGCGACGTTGGTCGAGGAAAAAAGAAAGAATACGGGGATAAGACAAGAAGCTGAAAAGGGTCTGGTGCTGGCCCATCAGCAAGGCGCTGCGATTCGAAAAATTTCTCTTATCAGCCCCTTATCTCACTAGCCGGGTTAGAAATGCAACTGCCGCTAAGCATGTGCGGCTGACGTTATCGCCATTTGCAACTCCACGTGGGTCACGGCGAGCATCATCTGTGGACGGCCAGGCCGGGGCTGCTGTTACAAATCGAGGTACTGTAAAAAGGCTCATTCATTTCTTGGGATGCTGCTGGCAAATGTCGAAATAATTATAGTGGACAACTCATAGTGGACACATTTACATAACATTTCACTCTCAGATTTGATTTGATACATGTGCAAAATAGCAGTCAAAAGGAGAAGAAGAAGAATATGCCAGCCATATCAAGGTCAATGCAAAATAGAATAGAAAAAAACTTGCTTCCTGTCTAGACGATCCTTTCGTTCTCCGCAAAGTCCAGCATGCTTTAACTTTAGTTCATGATCCGAGTCTACACTTCGTTTGCCCATCGCTGTGACGCCACCACGCCTCTCCAATCAAGAAAAAGAAATGATAAAAAAAAAGAAGATGGGATGAAGAAAAGAAGAAACATCAAGTGAAAGTACAGAAATAGGTAAATGTACCACCCACAAAGGGGTATAATTAGAAACACATACACTTCCAACACGTTGCAAGAATCGTACACTGCTCCATGTATGTCCATTCTAATCGTATGTGTTTCCTTCGTGAATTAATCGAGTGCGAGTGAATCAAAGAAAAGGCATCATCATTGATGGTTGTGAAAGATGAAAAAGAAGAAAAGGCAAAAGTAAGAATATCAAGAAGATAAAATGTCAAGAAATTGAAAGCACGCGATATACTGAGGTCATTAACATCACGGTTCACCCTGGCTTGAACCCCGGAGGGTTACAGGGCCTTGGAAGCCACCTTGGGAAGGCGGCTTGACAGCGTCCATCTCGAGGCCTCGAGAATCGAGCACTGGTCGTTGGTCCCGGTGAAGACCAAGTCGTTGATCGCCGTTCTCATAGCGCTTCTTGAACTGGTAATAAGAGGGCGTGCGGGGGCGGCAGAGAACGGCCAGGATGTTCCTCCAGAAGCTTGCTTGGTCAAACGGACGGTATCGTTCGCTCTTGGTGAACTTGTGAGAGTTCATGAATTCTCTCGTCGTTTCGCCACGGGCCATCAAGAAGATGTGATATCCCATGAGCGCGGCGGGGTAGAGAAAACAAACGACTCCCAGGATAACCAAGGCCAGAGAAACGCGGAAGTGGTCGATGGATTTGGCAAAGGAAATGTTTTTTTGGTTCATGTAAACAATGAGTTGTGCAAGACTTGCGCCGATCAAGTAGAGGGAGAGGATGGTGGCAGATGAGACAAAGATGAAGAAATATCGGTAGTTGCGTTTGCCAACGCAGTTGTTGAGCCACACGCAGTGGTGGTCGTGCGTCTCGACGCAGTTGTCACATAGACGGCAGTGGTGAGCACGGGGTGGTCGCCAGATGTTGCACGTCCGGCAGTGCTTGACGGGAAACTCCATGGCGGCCGCCGTCGGCTCCGCTGACTTTATCAGTGTCCAGTCATTTGTAGGGGGGTCGACACGAAGGGGATCTTCATGCGGCCCAAGAGGAGGGAACTGGTGAAGATTTCGGGGAAGGATCTGGTATCAGTTAGCATGCTGGGCACGTCTTGCTGCGTCGTGGGAAAAGGGCCAAAGCCAAAAGGTGCTACTTACTCCGGGGTCCGAAATGGAAGCATGGAGGAAAGAGGAGAAGCAAAGGTAGGCAAGGTATGCAAAGATGATGGGAATGGCGGGAGAGATGTTGTGCCAAAGCCACGGCGCCTCGAAGACGAAGAACAGAACGCAAGGGATAACGATGAAGACTCCAGTAGCAACGTTGATAGGCCGCTGCCTAGTGTTTTGCCATCGGCCTCCGAATAAGAACATGGTATTGCCCTCAAAGTACTCATAATTGCGCTCCTTGCTGTATTTGTGCTGTACTGCGGTGCTCTCGGTCTTGGGTCGTAGTTGGGAATCAATGGGGTTTAGTCGTGGTGATGACGCAGTGGAGGCGAGCTTTTCCACCCCAGCCGCATTTCGATTCTCAGCACTCTGAGCCTGATCACGGTCACTCATCCCGGGGAGGAAAGTTGACCCAAACGACCGGGGGGTTTTGAGCATCGGGCTGGGGAAATTCCTCAGATCTCTCAGGCTCGTGGTTCCGCTCAGGTCAAGATGTGGGTGGGCCTTCTCCGGACCCGAGGCCTTGCGCAGCGGTCGAACGCTCTCGGACATGCTCCCTCCAGCATAGTGACCGGTAGGGCTGGTGGCTTCCGTGGCCTGGTCAAATGTGTCGTGCTCGGTGAAGTCGGTGCCGCGGGAGGGCAGGTGCCTCTGCTCTTCGCTATACATGACGTGCTGGAACTGCGGCGGGCCATGCTGGGCCACTGGTGAAGGTGCAAAGTCGTGGATCACACTGCCATCGATATCCGTTGCGTTGTCGGGCAGGTCTCCAAACTGTGGCTGGGGCGCAGGTGGTGGTGGCTGGGTCGTCGCGAGAGGTCGTGCGGCTCCGGCTCTCTGGGCCTGCAGCTTTTGCGAGCTCATGGGGTGGAAAAAGGCGTTTGACGTGAGCCCTTGGACGTGGCTGCGGGATGTCAGGCTCGGCGACGTTCCCAGCGCGGAACTGGTTGTGCTAGTGCCGCTTCCTCTCTTGCCGACGCCCAAGTTCTTCCTGGCGCCTCCCCATATTTTGGACGAAGCCGCGGTCATGGCCGTCTCTGGTCGAATCACCGATCCTGATTCCCTTGTTTGATGCGTCTTGGGTGCCGAAGTTGAAGCGTTACCGTCGGCCTCATCCTCGCTGGCGATGTCGGTCATGTGGGAGGATACAACGCTCCCAGGGCGATGTCCATCTGGAGTCGAAGATGCGGGATGTGAGAAGGTCGGGACATTGCCAGTCGGCGAAACGGGCTCGTCTTGGGACGCCATCGTGATGGTTCCGTATGTGCAAATTCCCTGAGTTGTGCTATAACATAGCCCGTTCTCTCAATTTTTTCTTTTTTTTTTTTCCTCAAGTTTTTTTTTTTTTATTCAAGGCCCCTTCAGAGAGCACGAGATCCGAGTGTTCCGCCAAAATCTCACTGCGAAAAAAAAGAAGACCGTGGCGAACAGCGTATGACAGATCGACTCGAGGTTTGACAAATTTGCGGCTGCCGGAAACACGCAGGGGGGACGAAATAAGATGGGTGGTTCCGCGCGATGGGAAAATGGCTGTGTGGGAAAATGGTGATTCGGGTGGCCGCTTTGTAAGAAGTATCGCGCAACAAGTCGTCGAGTTGAGGATCGGATCGCGAGATTCCAAATGGGCGTATCAATCAAAGGAGCGTAAAATGAAAAGGCTGTGTTTAAAAAAGACAAGGGAGAGAGAGCGTAAACGAATCGAAAAACTAGGTACAGTCGGTTAGAGGGAGCGTCGGAAGCGGGGATGCTTCAAGATGGAAAAGAAAAGAAAAAATGGTGACAAAGGCAGCTCGGAGGGTTGATGGACAGGCCGGAAGGACGCCCGCTCCGGCAAAAGCGGAGGAAAGAAGAGAGAGAGAGAGAGAAGCAGCGAGTTAAACATGCGAATTCCTTTTTCCTCAGTCGTGAGTCTCTCTGCCGTTCGTCCACTTTTCGACGCCTGTTAACGAGGCTGCAGGCATGCGCCTAGACCCTCCTTTTTCCCTGGTAGGGTAAAAGGGGCTGGCTATTGGTGCGTTTGTCTCTGCGCAATTTGGAGGTTGAGGCCGGCAGCGGTAGCGGATGTCCGAGCGTGTCGTATTGAGTACCTACAGGTTAGCTCTGCAGATGGTGCAGATGGTGGAAATTACAGGGCTGCTTGGGGTCTAGCTGGCGTAGTCGGTACCTGGGCGGAACGCAACGGGTACATGCCGTCACGCACGGAGCACACCACCAGTGCTTGAAGTGAGTGACCTGCAGCCCGGCCGTCGAGAAGCTGGGGCTTGCATGAGATGAAGTGCAGCTCACAGTTGAGCTTCACGTGTAGCCAAAAACAAGGTACATGCCGTCTTACGCCGTACATACGAGGCAAGGAAGACGAGTTACCTGTTAGCTGCTGACAAACCGTGAGAAATGTTCTTCGTATCCCAATTCCCATTCCCAGGCACAGTATTCAGTAGCATTCACATGCACAATTCCCGCCACGCTCGTCATTAGCCTGTGGAAATTGCCCAGCAGCCATCAATCCGCCTAGCGCGCTGTGATGTGACGGCGATCAATGCCCAACACGCTGCATTTTTTCATGCCTGGCCTGCAACACCAGTGAGCTCATGGTTACCTAAGCTAAGCCATTGCAACAACCAAGCTCGCCAGACCATGTGACTTCTCACGTGCATTATCCCACCTTCGGCATTGGCCAATGGCAGCCTCGGAATCTCGGGTTGAAATCATCATACGACCCCAGCTTTAGCACCACTATTCCAAGCAAGCTTTTGGCCCATTTCTCGATCTCCAAAGAAACCAAACAACCTCCCTATCAACCAAACCTCCGCCAATTCGTCCCGTCAAAATGGCCTCCATGATCACCCGCCGCTTCTTCTCCACGACTGTCCGTCGCATGACCGTGGACACCGCCTCCAAGGCGGAGCTCCAGTCCGAGTCCAAGCGCAACCCCGAGATTTATGTGCGTCATATTGGAAAAGGCGAAGCTTCCTTTCTCGCAGCTCCGTCACGTCCCGCGCCGCTCCCTTGAAGGTTTTCGATGGCTAATAGTTTTGTTTTGGGGTGTTTATAGATCCTCGGTGGAGTTATGGTTGCCGCTCTGGGTGGTGCCGGCTTCTACTTCGGTATGCGACCCAGACATGCAACTCCTTGCTTGACATGATGCAATGCAACTCGACCATCCTCGACATTGGGCCCTGCCTCCTGTTTCTTTACAGCAGCGGCTGTTGCACCAGGTACCACATGAGAGTCGCCAAGTATATACTAACGTTTCCCTTCCAGGCCGATCTCCCACCCACGCCACCTCTGAGTCTCCCGTCAACGTCGCCAGCATGGCCTGGGAAGGCGAGGGCAAGGGCAAGTACCAGTACCACCCCGGTGGTGACCCCAACGCTGCTCCCCGTGATGCTCCCAGCGCCCTCAACGTTGTCATCATCCCCAACGTCACCGCTCCCAAGGAGTACCACGACAAGTTCAACAAGTGGGGCAAGGAGGGATACCCTTAAAGGGTGGAATGCGCACATGGAAACTGTGAGCAACGATGGAAACGGTAGAAGCGGGCATTCTTGTATTTAAATGAGGCGTGTTCGCCTGTGTAGACATATGGGTGGTGGTGGTGGGATGTGTCATGGTTTTTAAAACAAAACGATGATGAACCTGAAAAAGAAGGAGAAGAAAAAATGAAAGATTATTTTTGCACACGCCTTCGAAAGTGAACATGTGGAAGAGGTCATGACCTATCATTAAGCAATTGAATGTATTTCAAAGGCTTTCCGCAATTAGGGATCTTATAGAGCCACAGTTAATTCATCGTCTTTACCAAATCAACATCACTGAGGCGAAATGGAAGTACAAGCCAAAATACATCATGGCCCTTATCATTGCAGCCCTTTCTCAATCATCGAGAGAATATTTCCTATCAGAACAAGCCTGTCAAACAAGCAAACCCTCATAAATATCTAGCCCTTTCGACGCCAGTGTTCTGATTTCTTCCCTAGCAGATCCAAACACCTCCCTTATACCTCACCCTTACAAAACACAACCCGTGGCTAAGAAATCAGTAAATCTACCTCCTCGCCCGTGAATCCAAACAGGTAGAGCAAGTCCAGCAAGCTCTGTCCGTTCAATCGCGCTCCCGCCTCCATCTGCACCGTCGGCTTCGCGTTCCACGCCACGCCCAGGCCGGCCTTTTCCATCATCAGGAGGTCGTTGGCGCCGTCTCCAACGGCAATGACCTGGGACAAATCGATGCCCTCCTTTTGCGCAATTTCAACGAGGAGATCACGCTTGCGCTCCTTTCCGACAATGATGCCCTTGACTTCGCCCGTGAGCTTGCCGTCTTCGATGACCACTTCGTTGGCGTGCGCATGGTCGATGCCGAGCTCTTTGGCCAACCATCCCGTCAGCGGCAAAAAGCCTCCAGAGAGAACAGCCGTCTTGACGCCGAGGCGTTTGAGCGCCTTGAGCAGATCCCGCACGCCGGTGGTGACGTCGAGGACAGGCCGAAGATCCTCAAAGACGGTTGCCGGCAGGCCCTTGAGAAGCGCGACTCTCTCGCGGAAGGATGACTCAAAGTTGAGCTCGCCCATCATGGCGCGGTGCGTAATTCCAGCCACACGCTCAGCGAGATCCGGCGGGTCTTTGATGGTCTCAGCCAGCAGGTCAATGACCTCCTGTGTGATGAGAGTGCTGTCCATGTCAAAGACAACCAGTCTAGGGTGCTTCCTCCACAGGATATCCCTCTGCAGGGCCACGTCGACATTCCACTCCTGCTCAAATCTGTAAATCAGCTCGTGTTTCCTCAAGTCGTCCAGGCTGAGGTAGCTGGGCGACGGAGCGGGTGTCAGCGTCAGTTCAACGACCCGAGGGGCCTCTTGGTTGTCCAGACAGCGATGCGACGAGTGCGGCTCCTCGGCGCCATCAGGCAGGGGGAACGTCGACATAAGGTGGAGGAAGGACGTAATGCACAGCGGCGAGACGTAGGAGCCGTACAGGTGGTCAAGTTGCTCCGACTCTTGCGTGGGAGGCTCAAGAGGGAACTCGTCCATGCTGGTCGTCGGCGCCATGTTGGGAGGCAGAGACTCGGTGCTGTCGGCCAGGCCGGACTTGGCGGGGGATCGCGACCTGCTGAGGCCCCCGGAAGAGCTCCTGGGCGGCGCATTGCGGTCGGATCCCTTGTAGAACAGCGTGGCGATGAGTCTGTCCGAGCGGCGGCCGGCAGGCGGCGCGCAGTTGGGGTGCGAGTAGCTGTGCGAGACGCCGCTGTCGACGATGATGGGCGGGTGCTCGGGCGACGGCACGCCATTGAAGGGCAGCTTGGGCGACTTGGACGGCGACGAGTCCTCGACGACGGTGTCGATGCCGTGGTGGGCCTCGGGGATGCGGTGCTGCGGCGGGCGATACTGCTGGTGGTCGCTGAGGTACGAGCTGCTCCGCATGCTGCTGGTGAGCTGCGGGCGTTGCGACGACGTCTTTGCCGTGTCTGCCATGATGATCGATTTGCGCCGTTTGGTTATTTGAGCAGATGTTGGATGACAAGATCACGAGATGCGAGATCGATCGCCAGAAAGCCGCAGCGAAAGGCCGGAGCTGGTGTGTTGGACAAGGGCGAGGAACGAGGAAAGCCGCAAAAACAACAGCCGCCCAGAGTTTCGTCGGTTTTGCAGCCTCGCACAAGATTCGAGGAGAAGTTCAAGTTCAGCCTGCCCGCCGCTTTTGCCGCTTTTCTTTCTTGGGGATTTCTTGGACGGGGGGTGGAGAGATTGCTCCGGGGTCGCACTAGCAGAGCAGAGCAAAGTGGACTGGGCTCACAAGTTATGGTGTGATTTGCGCATAAAAAAGAGTAGCTAGACGGGGAAAATGAATGGCTGGTGATGGATGCGGGCAGATTTCTGGAGGAGGGGCTGCGATTATACTGTGTTGTACGTATCTATAGATTGCTTTTACTTAACCTGGAGTGAGATTGGATCTTGATTTTTCAGCATCAAGGAGCTTGAATAAGCAAATGATGATGAATATATATATATTTTACTGAATTGCATTATACTGAATTTACAAACAAGTCAATCATCAAAATAGAAACTCAATGCAAATGAGACATAAAGAGAGAAAAACTTCTACGCCTCCAGTGAAGATCATTCGTCACTGTGCAGTAGCTGTTGCCCCGCGCCTGTCAGTCCCACGTGCACACCAAAAGGTTAAACGACGCTTAGTCATTTTGCAATAGACAGCAAAACTCCAAGAAGACCATCATGGCCAGCCAGATGAGCCAGATGCCATATAGATGTATTAGCTGGCACATATATAAATTCCCTATCTATATTTTGATCAAGATAGATTCCCCACCATGAAGCTAATTGTAATATATAAGAAAATAGTTGTCAAGGTATCTATAGCTAGTAATAAGTTGAGTTGTCATGCAAATCATTCGTCAACTCCCAGCAACTGTCAGGCTTTCAACAACTCTCCTTCTTTACACTCAATACGCCCTCCGCAAGCATCCAAAAAAACTAAGCATATCCACAAACAAATGAGAGAGAAAAACAAACAACAAACAAAGAAATATATAACCAAAGGAGGCATCATCATCATCATCATCTCTCACCTCTAATCTTTTCCAAGCCTCATCACACCTCAGTCCTCAGACCGCAGCCCCCATCTCACCATCACCGGCCTCCGCTTACCCATCCAATTCTCCATCTCGTCAAGTCCATGATGAAACCCCCAAACCACCATCCCCAAATCATCCATGTCTTCTGGTAGAGCATCTTGAGTGTCCGGGATGAACGTCCGAATTGTCACCTGCAGCTTCGGCCCCCGCTCCCACATGGCCTGCCACTCCACAGCCGTCTTGGCCTCCCAGAGCGCAACCTGCGCCGTGAACTTGAGCTGCAGCGTGCGCGCCTCGGCCTGGTCCCAGCCTTGCTTCAGGAAGGTGTACGTGCCGGAAAGGATCTCCGCGGTGAGGATCGTGCGCCGCATGCTTTCGTAGTATACCCAGGACGCCCAGCTGTCCATGGTCTTGGAGAAGGACCGAAGGCGCGGGTACAAGGCTGACAGGAGCGCCTGCACAATGGCCTCGTCTCGCTCGGCACGCATTCGCTCTTCGAAGTCGTCTCTCGCGAAGAAGCGGATGCACTGGTAGACGACAAAGGCCTGCAGCACCGGCAGCAGGTCGAGCTCAACTCCGACGGCGATTTCAGATGCGGAAGTAATCGCATGGCGGATGGAGCCAATGAGGCGGGCGACTCGCTTGGCAATCTCACCTCGCACGAGCGCTGCATTGGCCGTGTTTCTCATGCAGTGCAACGCGCTTGCGGCGAGGGCCTCCTGCAGCACCTCTGATGCCGACACCTGTGTGTGGTGGATGAAGCAGTTCTGGCCCGTCATGGCCAGGATTTGCGGTTGGATCGCAAACCGGCTGGCCGCCCACTCCGTCCGCGACTGGAATATCTGGCCAGTCGTCACAGCAGTGTTGGCATTGTCAAAGTAAAAGAACTCGGGAGTGGAGAACTCCCGGCCAGAGGGGGTGGGCTCTATCGGCCCCGAATACGGGCCCAATGACAAGACGGTCTGGTCCTGGTCCTGAGACATGTATTCGTCTAACTGGGACAGCAAACAAGGCACCAGCGGTGGGGGTACCGCTGACGAAGGGCCCGGAGACAAGTATGCACCGCCATGACTGCTCCCACTGCTGCTCCCACTGCTGCTGCTGCTGCTTCCGCTGTTGCTTCCACCAGAGTGCCAGATGTGGCTCAGATCCTGCGTTATACTCGCATCCGCTCTCATACTCGTAGGCGGCGAATTCAGTCCCAGCTGTTCTGCGCTTCCAATTGCCATCCAGGGATAGACGCAGTCTTTCCTCGCCCTCCGACAGCGACCACACGTCGGCAGGTCCAGGTCGCATCTCCGCTTGCCAGCCACACATGCGGCACACGATTTTCTACGGGACGAGATCATGGCGAGCGGTAATATGGGAGATCTGCGGAACAACGAAAAAGTGCGAGTGCGGAAGTGAGGGAGAGAAGCAAGGCAAGCTTCGAGAGCTCGGGGGGGCTTGTAGACACGGTTCAGCTTGTCCCGACACGGCCCCACAATAATGCGGAATTCCGCTCACGGCCCCCCGTCGGAGGCGGGACTGAGAAGCGGCCATGGAACAAAGAAGCACAGCATTGTATGGGAGAAACTATGCAGATGCGTGAAGGAAAGTTCAGAGCATGATATCTATTGATCCTGTATACATGATGTAAGCTGTGCTGTGATTGCGTAGTTGTAGTTGACAAATTAAAGATCAAAAGAGTATATATATAGGGTGTTGCGAGGTATAACTAACCGTGAAGCATTGGACAAGATACCGAAATCGACGACATTCATAGTGTCAGGTTCTTCAAAAAGACTACAGTCGAAAATAAGCCTTGAATTTCGTCCAAAATGGCAGCCGCTCCAAAGCAAGAGTTCGACATCCCATACCGCGTCATCTCCATCACCGAAAAGACGCACAAAACCTCCTACCCAGCCATCTCTCCCTCCCGCCCCGCCCTCTCCCAAGCCGGCCGGACGGTCCTCATCACTGGCGGCAGCGGGGGTATTGGATACGGAATCGCCCTTGCGTTTGCGACCGCCGGAGCTGACCGGGTCATCATCGTCGGCCGGGATGAAGCCAAGCAACAGGCCGCCGCCGCGAGCCTCGCTGCGGAAGCGGGCCCTGGCTCGCACACCAAGTTCGAGGGGAGGGCTGCCTCGCCTGGAAGCCCAGAGAACATCGACAGCTTGTGGGATGCCCTTGCGTCTGAGGGTGTGCTTGTCGACGTGCTAGTGCTGAATGCGGCAGTGACTGGCAGCTCGCTGGAACGCAGCTTGTGGGCGAGGGGGTGGGAATCCACCTGGGAACAATTCATTGTCCATGTTCGCTCAGTTAATCACTACAGCGAACGCTTTTGGAAGCAAAACGTGGATAAAAAGGCAAGCCACTGATCCCATATCGCTGTTCCATGGCGATTCCATCATATATCTTGACGGACCAGTGTGTTAACAACGTTGTTTGGTGCAGAGATATCTCGTCAATGTAGCTACGTCTGCGATCCACGAGTGGGAGGCTGGGGTAAACACCAAAGCCTACGCATTGACCAAAAACTCGGGAGTGCTCTTGCTACAGCAGCTTGCACGAGACACACCAATCTCCAAGATGCAGATAGTCAGCTTTCATCCGGGTGCCATATTGAGCCCTGGGGCCAAGAGTGCGGGAGCGACTGAACGGACTCTCGACTGGGATGACAGTACGTATACAGGCCATGTTCTCAAACATGGTTTTTCTTCAGTTCTGGCTTTCCTTGTTGGCTAACAATCCTTGCCATTTAGTCAGCCTCCCCTCCTCTGTTGCCATCTGGGCGGCTTCGGACGAGGCAGCGTTTTTGCACGGTCGGTTCATCTGGTCAGCATGGGATGTCGAGGAGCTGCAGAGTGGGCCCCTCCGAGAGCGCATAGAGCAGGATGAGAATTATCTGCGAATTGGTGTTCATGGTGTATGAGTAGGTGGCACACTGTTGCACGCAATTGAATAGGCCGCCTAGCGGTTGTGTACAATAATATCGTATGTAGTGGTAGCAGTATAAGACCAGGCATTGGTCGAGGGGCCAGAGCAGAAGAGAAGCAACCCCGTTCCACTCCGTATCCCGACTCTTCTTGCGTCACATAGTGACCAGCCAGTGAGTGAGAGGCTTACTTGCAGCAGAAGCACTCACCTCGGACTCTCGGGCATGTGTAATCAATGCCTCTCCTCTCTTCTCCTCTCCCCCTTGTGATGTCGCCATCAGCAAAGCACTCCATCATCCGGGCTGACGAAGCACACCTCGCTAGCACTAGTAGGCAATAAACAGCCTTCCCAATTCAGCCAATATTCAGCTCCCCCAATAATCCTCATAGCGACGAGCCGGTTCGGACCCTCGCGGCGATCCACACCCGGCCCATAATAAATGGCATCAATCAGCCAACCGGCGCTCGGCTCCCGACTCCCGCCAAGCCGCCGACAGCCCGATGGCGCACAAAACGAACGTTCTGCCCAGTCGAGATGGCTTCAATTTTCTTGCAGCAGCTTGTCCAGACGTCTCCAGTTCGATCCGTCACTTTGGTAGCTCTTTCAACCCCGGATTTCCAAGCTTGTCGACCCTCTCTTGAGCTCTTCATGACGCATATTGACGATTCTTCCAGATGCATTCGTCATACGGGATGAGATCATTCACTCCCTCCTTTGCGATTACCATACACTTCCGGCAGCCACTCCATTTCTAAGCCAACAAGCCCCGGAAAACCCTTCGCTGCCCCAGTATTTCGAAAATGGAGCCTGTCCAAGTAGAAGATACTCGAATGATTGCTGATTCGCCCCGTGTGATGCAAAGTCCATGTTACTGAAATTCAATCCTTGGGTCCCCGCTTCCAGCCAATCAGAGCCGCTAGCTCGACATCGCGGAAGCTTTGGCGTCGATGTCGTGATCGCTCCTAGACGCAACGCCAGACGCCCAAGGAGCTTCCAAGGCGCGTGCTCAATGCATTCTGGCTCGTTTTCTGCTCCCTCTGAGCGATGTTCCGACGCCAGGCCTGGCAAATTGGACGGGGGTCTGCCTTTGCAATCATTGGGGCTCGGTTTTTTTTTCAGGCAGGAGAATTAGTCAGGGCGGGCGAGAAACAGGGCCACAGATTCCCCAGATTGCCTTCCTCTCATATACAGAGAGCCTGCCCCCCAAAGCTTCTCCGTAATAATAAAAGTTCAGCTTCCATTCTCTTTGCTCCCATAGATCCTTTGACTGGACATCCCTCTTTGACCAGTGACGCCTTTTTTGTTCGAGAAACTGGTCCCGAAGAAAGACAGCCACTTGAATCTCTGAATCATCTCGCACTCGCAAGCACAATTCTCTTCTCAGGCACAACAGCCCAAGCACCTCTGCTGTTGCCCAACCGAGGGATCATACCAATCTTCTACCCATAACACACACTCTTTCTCTCGCCATCATGTCCGTCATCATGGAGCAGTCGACGGTTCAGTCGTCTTATAAGATTGATACCAACGACATCGAGTCTGGTTATGCCTCCGGCCAGTCCGACTACTCTCCGTCACCGAGAGAAGAGAAGCCCGATATTTCCCTCAGCAAGTCTCACATTGAATACCTCAACCAGCAGATGGAGAACATGCATCCCATGGACATCCTCCGCTTCTGCAGAATCATGTTCCCCAACCTCTACCAGTCAACGGCGTTTGGCCTGACGGGTCTCGCCACCATGGACATGCTGTCCAAGATCCAAAAGGAGAACCCAGAGTCCCGCACTGTCGACCTCATCTTCCTTGACACCCTGTATCACTTCAAGGAGACATATGAGCTCGTCGACCGGGTCAGAGAAAGATATCCCAACGTCCCCATTCACATCTTCAAGCCCGACGGCATGGAGACCGCCCAGCAGCTTGAAGAGACGTATGGAGAGAAGTTTTACCACACTGCCGGCGACATGTACGACTGGATCGTCAAGGTTGAGCCCCTGCAGCGAGCATACGACGAGCTCAAGGTTGCCGCCGTGCTCAACGGCCGTCGACGATCTCAGGGTGCGGCCCGTGGCTCCATCCCCATCATCGAGCTGGATGAGGAGCGAAACATCATCAAGATCAACCCCATGGCCGCATGGACCTTTGCCCAGGTCAACGAGTACATCAAGGAGAACAATGTTCCGTACAACGCCTTGCTTGACCAGGGCTACAAGTCGGTTGGCGACTGGCACTCGACCAGCCCCGTCGGCGAGGGCGAGGATGAACGTGCCGGCCGCTGGAAGGGCCAGAACAAGACCGAGTGCGGCATCCACAACAAGAAGTCCAAGTACTCCGAGTTCGTCGCTCAGCGGGAGAGCCAGACTGCGCCTGTTTCATGAGCGCACGCGTCGTATCTCTCAGGTGAAGCGCGCTCTCCGCACGCAAAGCCGGGGGACCTGGATAGATTTGTTATGACATGATGAGCGTTAGTGGCATTGGCGATTGGAGTCTTTGAGGAGTTGCTTCGATGGAACAGCATTGGATGGGGGTTTGACCCCATAGATATATCATGGGCGGCGTTCGGCTTGATTTGTTTCTTTTTTCCTTAATCATTCTCTTTCCGAGAATTCACCGGCTGAGCAGGTTTTTGACAAAAAAGCGGCATCACATGCCCGTGGCAGTAGATAGCGAGAGCGAATAAAACAAAAGTAATTCATCATCAACCTTTTGCGTGTCTCTTTGTGAAATGGTGAAGGTTAGAGAAGAGGCATCATGAAGTCAGCGCCGTCTCGGTTTCTGGAATATGGTTATTTGAGCCACTGAGTGCCCCGCGCCTCGCCCCGTAGATAAGCGTCTGACAGCGATCTGCCACACTAGCCACCAACGTTTGATAGGGCACTATCAAGGCTCATTGCAAGACCAGACTCAATTTTTCAAATTACATGTGCCTCCAGGGTAATGTTCACGAACATTTCAATCTAGCAGAGCGATCGGTTCATATTCAATTTTCTCTTCTTTTTTTGTTTTTAGTCTTATTGAAATATCGCCTCCGTTATGCAGGCTCTCACTCAGCCGTCAACTCCATTCCGCGAGAAAAAGTCAAAAATCCTTGAACAGCTTGCCGTTCCAGATACCGAATACTCTGACGCATCACCCAAAGGCTCCGTTGATGAAGGGATCCGGCATCTCATTGATGAAATCAACACTGCTGAGGGACTTGTAACGACGAGTAGCTGCGCTGGCCGTGCAAGCGTCTTTCTTGAGGGCAGAAAAACCAAGTCTGGGGATGGAGAGAATGGCGAGGGTGAACAAGTTGCAAGAGTAGGCGGAAAGGGGGCTGGAGGAACGTGGCTGTACGTCTCTCACGATGCTCGGGCTGATGGGGACGAGTCATATCTGGATTGGATGCAGAGTTTAGGGTTGCCGGATTCGGAGGATATGATTGAGACGCTTCCAGATGGAAGTGGTGAGAGAAGGCTCATACACTTCAAGTTTGAGCCCATGGTGAGCAATTCTCTTTCATCTTCATAAATAAGACGGTGTATCATGGAAAATGCTGACTGAAGACCTCAAAGATTCTCCATGTTCTCACGGCATCACTTGGTCACGCTCAGCTTCTCCTGCGTTGTGCCTTACAAGCCGGATTCCGTGAGTCTGGCGCCATCAACATCACTTCTCAGTCCAACGAGCAAACCATGCCCATGGTCGCCATCCGCTCTATGGGCCTAAGCCTCGAATCCCTCGTTGGTTATCAGGACTCGGAGGGCCAACGCCGACGGATAGTCTCTGCTGGGTATTTCAAGATGCTTCTACAGATATCCAACGAGCGGTTCGTGGAAAACACAAAACGCATAGAAAGGTTCCGGTCAGCATTCAAGGAAGCCGTACTTGAACCGAAGTCGTCAAGCATCCCGAAGAAATTGAATCCTGAGGGCAAGGAATGGGAAGATGCTGCTGCCAGGCGCGAAAGGTTGCGAGCGGAAGGGCTGCAAAGGAAAGCAGCTCTTCAAGCCGAGAAGGCTGATGCACCATCACAAGATATAGACGCTGAATTGCAAATGGATTCTCCTTTTTAGCGCAATAATTTCTTTTTTTTCTGTTCATACATTGTGCCCCATGCAGGCAGCTTTTACCGCTGCCGTCTTGCTATAGCGTACAGGTATACACACCCATTCCAACTCGCTCGCCTTGAATCCGGTCAGTGCGTTCGAAGCACTGGCTTGTCATCGTAAGTCTATATAGCCGCTGATCTTTCTTCTTTTGCTTCTTTCTTTTCTTTTCTATCATCTCACGCTGTCTCCTTTTTTTCATATTCTCAAAACAACCTCTATGCCGTGACCTTGTTGATCCAGTCCTTCTCCAGCTTCTTCACTTCCGCCTTGAACGCCTCGACTTCGTCATAGCAGACCAGAGGTCTCCTGTCGTTTTCCCTCAAGCACCGAATGACATTGTTTCGTGCCGTCTCCACACTCTCGGGCAACTCTCGCACAATCCTGCGCTGCTCGAGCTTGTTGCGCAGCTCATCAATCTCCTTGCTGACGGTGTAGCGGTTGGGGCCCTTGTCCTCGGTGATTGAAGAAGCAGCCTCTGAGATCTTCTCGTGTGCGAATTTGAGGGCGTCGGACTCTTGCTTCTGCAGCCTCTTGAGCTCTTCAGCAACGCGGGCCTGGATATGTTGCTCAACTAGCTTGGCACGGGAGGCATCCGTCTGGGGGAACCGCTGAAATCAGTCTCGATAGAACATTACAAAACTACAGGGAGATCGAATAGAATCGAGGGCGTACTTCGGGGCTAGTTTGCAGCGACTCCATGACGGGCAGAGAGACGCTTGGCGGTCCTGAGCTGTTTTGATATAAAATTTCACCTCGTTAGCTGGCGAATTGGGGGCGGGCCGGGAAGTGTTTAAAATGTTCAATTGGCATGATTACATACACCTTCCATTCGTAGGCCTGGGGCTTCGACTCTTGGGCACCCATGGCGACGGGCTCAATGGCGATGCGACAAATGTAGGACGGGTTGAGCTCGTGATGGCGCTTTTTCGAAAATTCCGGGCATATTCGGCTGGCGTCACTGGAGCTGCCGGGTCCGGAGGTTTCTGCCTGAGGAGCAAGTGTGGCTAGTGACGTGGCGCAATTGAATGTGGCTGGTGCATGATTCTGAGAACCTCAAGTCGAGTGGTGATCCATTTTTACTTTACTGCCAGCCAATGAACAACATTACAAAAACGAAGCAACCCTCGGGTA